ACTTTCAGCAAGGGTAAAAACCTATAATTGATAAAAATAAATTAAATCACTTACCATGAGGACTCAAAATTATACAGTATTGTATGTCAAGGATTGATGATGTACTATCACTAAGTTCTCATGGCATGCGGCTGACATCATGGCAGCCAAATTTGCAGTACTTATACACAAAAGATTTCTCATCAGAATCTACTTTTCATATGGACTGAAGACTGACATCAAATATTAAGAATTGCCACGTGTTGGAGAATCAAACAGCTTCAAAGACCAATGTACATGAAGAAGTCTTACCTTGACTTTCTTGAGGAACTCCTGGGCCTGAGCAAGACCACCTTTGATGTAAAATGTCACCATTCCTCCAAAGCCGGTCATTTGCTGTTTGGCTAAATCATGCTGTGGATGGGACTCCAGTCCTTTGAATATGGCAATTTATTARTCAACACGACTGCATGTAGATAAATTTGTGAACAACAACAACAACAACACAAACAAACAGCAACACAGACACACAAAACGACGACAATAAACAATGAGAGAATGGGAAAAATGAAGGAAGAATGACTGTTTAATGAAAAGGTGTTAAGTCTGAATCAAATCATGCAATCATCATATGAATGGAGTCGACATACCTGGGTACAGAACCTTCAAACATCTGTTATCTTTCTCCAAGAACTTAGCAACAGCAAAAGCATTAGCACCATGCTGCTTCATTCGTACGTGTAACGTTTTGAGGCCACGATTGGCCAGATAGCAGTCAAATGGGCTCGGCACAGGACCAACAGCTAGAAAAGGAAAAACAAACAACTTTATAACTACCATTTGATTTGATGGATGTTGATAATTAATCATTTTATTGTACCCAWATTTGTTCTACTGACAATACAATCATTTAAGTAATACATTCTAAGTGGCTTAATTAATACCATTTTGAAGAAATTTCAATTTCTCTGCAACTTGATCATTGCTAGTAGCAATGACCCCCATCACAACRTCAGAATGCCCTGGTGACATATGAAAATGTACATATTATATTATTGTAACAAATATGTTTATTATGATTCATATCTCTATTTATTTTTTGGTGGTTGTCAGCAACAATATTATTATGGAGGATTTTACCGTTCATGTATTTAGTGACMGAGTGCATTACGATATCAGCTCCATGGGAMAGTGGCCTCTGGAATGAAAATTCATSAAAAAGATCATCAAAATGACTAATAATTACACTGATTTCTGATTGTCTGATTGCTGACTAATTCAGGGGAAATTTATGACTGGATGTACATTAATGAATTGTTTAACAATTGACTGACACAGCAATCAACTGTATGAYACAATATTGATGGTTTACAAGACACTATTAAATAACTGAGTAAACTAAATAACGGACTTGCTTAGATTTATTTATCAATTCTACCTGGAAATATGATGAAGAAAATGTGTTGTCCACAACCAATAAAACACCCTGACAAAAGTCAAAAATCATTGAAGTTATTTCAGAATAATAATGTAAKCAGATGTAAAATAATGTTTATATTTCACTTATCTAAAGAACTTACTGTACCTCATGTTGATGAACAATTTCTGCCACTGCCTTGATGTTGATCAGCTTCAATAGGGGGTTGGTTGGCGTCTCTACCCAAACAAACTTATGGGGGAAAAGTGTACAAATTCAGATTTAATCAAGTATCAAGATTAGTTTTAACAGGAGAATATTATAGTCTCCTCGCAGCCGTTCTTAGTGGCGGGCTCCCTGTCCCCCGCCCGACTAGAGAATATTATTGAATAGAAAAATGAATTGGTGAAACCAATTAAGATAAACATTGATAGAGAAAGGACAAAAAGAGTGAATGTTCAAGAAAATGAAAACTTGGTGAGAATGGAAAGTTTGTCTTCACCTTAGTGTTTGGCTTTATTGCTTTTTTCACRTTTTCCAGGTTTGTGAAGTCATTGAGRGTKACTTCTATTCCCATAGAGCTTGTCATTACTCTGCTGAAATAGCGGTTTGTTCCTAAAAACATAATTGTTTTTATTATCAGTTGTAAATTTAAAAGGAAATGTACATGTAGAACATATAGAAAATACACGTTTATTTTAATAACAAGTGGATTTATGTGTTGAATGAATGGATGGAAAATGAATGGAAAAATGAATGATGAGTTGGACTATATTATATAATCTGCTGAAATAGCAGTTTGTTCCTAAAAACATAGTGTTGTTATTATTATAAGTAGTAAATCTAAGAGGATGTACATGTAGAACATATAGAAAATACAAGTTTATTTATATAAAAAGTAGATTTATGTATTGAATGAATGGATGGAAAATGAATGGAAAAATGAATGATGAGTTGGACAAATGAAACGATAATTGGATGGAAGGATGGCTGGATGAATTCATGAGGGATATATAAACAGATGAATAGATACGCTTAAATGGATTCAAGAACAAATACCAGTAGATGAATAGATGAAACAAGGAATGAATAATGGAATGGGAAGAAGACTAGTGAACTAGTGACAACTAGTGGACTAGTGACAACTAGTGAAAAGAAGGGAGAAAAGAAAAAGTAACAGAAAATTCTCATTTACCTCCATAAACATCATCTACACAAGCAATGTGGTCGCCGCTCTTCATCAAATGTGCAATGAGCATGGTTGCAGCCAAGCCAGAAGATGTTGCAAAAGCTTCAATTGAAAGAAAACAACAACAAAAAAATTGATGATAAAAAATTACCACATCATCATATTACATCATTCTTCKTGGCTATGAAAGTTTGATTTACCATATTTGGCTCCTTCCAGACCTGCAACACATTTTTCAAAGCATTGTCTGGTTGGATTTCCTGATCTTGAATACTCAAATCCCTAGAAAAATAAGGGATACAAATGGTATTTATTGCAGTTAGTGGAGATTTAGCCTCCTTTATCAGCGGCCCCTGTGTTGTTGCACAACGCTTCTCCCCACAGACATCTGCTTACTTTGGACATAATCAATTTTCCTATTTTATTAGCGGGCCAATCATTGTTATAATAGGAGCCAATCAAATAACCTGATAAATGTTTTCCCGCCAATGCATGGGGAAAAGCGTTGCATGACGACACAGGGGTGGCTGCTCAAGGCCTAGTGGAGATTTGGACTGATTTCTCTACAAATTAATGATGATCAATAATAATCAATGATATTCAATGATAAATAATATTATCAACAAAAATAATAATAAATAATTACTTTTTACATTATTATACATAACTGGGATATYTGAGATWAAACCAGCTATGAAGCAATAACCTTTTAAAGGTTACACAACAAGTCTAACTTACTGGGATCTCAACGGCTAAAAGAACAAAAAAACTGCGATATGTACTAAAAATCATAAACTTTCTAATATCTATCTATTATCTCACAACTCTACTGAACAGACTGTACTTCAAATAAAAGAAGTTGATTTCAATCCCGGGGGGAGGACTCCCTAATATCAAAGTTTCAATCCTGTAGATTTTGTTACGTGCCACGCGCGACACGTCATGGAGACGGACTTTGACAACGCGACATTATCGATCTTACCCTATGCTGGCCAGGTCCGTCTTGTTTGAATGTAGTAGMCATAGAAATTGGAGGAACTACAGCTCTGGAATTCCATAGTTCAGGCTCTTGACCTTCGTGTATGGCTATCGTGCCAAAATGAGGAAAAGGAGGTAGAGCTTCGGGAATTTTGTCGGCCATGTTCGGAAAGCTTTCGCAAGAGAAAGATTTTGCAAGTTTTCACACAGGAAGCCCATGCGGTAAGAAGCTAAAGCGAAAAAGTAGGGAAAAACGAGGAAAACTATAAAGAAAAATAGGTTAATAAACATTCAGTGTTATCTTTAAAAGGCAAAAACTGACAAAAAGCGTTACACTCAAGAAAATATATAATATTAATTTTAATTGGAATGTTTGGGCTTCCTTTGTCACACCCTCAGAAAACCAAAATGGCGGACGCAACATGACTTTTTCACGACAAAACATTTATTGTTAAAATTTGGTGSAGTTTCAGGACTTGATGACGGTCTAATCATGTACGTTGTATTCCCAATTGAGTGTCTCTCTAGTGCAAGTGGTCTGATGGTTGGCACGCAGCGTGAATGTGGAAAAATTCTATGTGTTATAAAYGTARTCGCCCCTWCATTGTCMGAGAAAATATCYAAAGAGATAGGCGGTTCTGTTCTTGGGCATTGGTATGGCCACGATTCTGCATCATTTACTAGATTAGCACAAGAATCTAAACCAAAGCTTGTTTTACAACGTCGTGGACGACAGATCCCTGAGGTTTATTCGGAAGATGATAACATTGTRTTAGTTCTGTWTAACCGYCAGAAGATGTGTTCTTACTTCAGCACAACTCCTTTGAGTTTTAGAGCCGCTTCTTTAGAGCTTGAACTTAATAATATACAAGGGAAAACATTACCGTCTTTGCCGTTGCCGAGCTTCAATGCAGARTCACATACTGAAACTATTTTAGACCAAATTAATAACACAAGCGAARTGGTGTCAAAGCTTGACGCTTTACTTCATCCAAAGAGACACTCTTTAACTATACGTCTTTTTGGCATCTTTAATTACATTCTTAAAGTACCAAATTTAATGCTTRGTGTCCTTGTTTGCATTTCGAGCATTTTGCTATCTTTGTCAAAGCTTGGTGTTTTTCAGTGGAGAGTCTTCAGCTTCTTAGCATCACTTCCGGTCTTCMTGTTGCAATGCTCGCACAGATTATCACAACTCCAGTTTATTAGTAAAAATACAGAGTGCCAACTGCAGTCATTAGAAAATGCTGCAAATGTAGATCATCAAAGACCAGTAGCCTCAAAKCCATTTGAAGAACTGCACAAAAAGCAGAGAACGTTTATCATAAAGGGAAATATTCTTGCTACAGTTGTACTTGATATATTCCTAGGAATCACTATAGTTCATTTGATATCCTCTTCAACTTTAATAGAAGATATCGTAGACAACTTGGTCCAGTATACTGATTATGTTGCACAGCTACTGACACAGCTCATCAATTGGCTGATGGGTGTCCCTGGTGGACTGAAACTTAACAAGACGTTGACTAATTTTTTAGGCAAGTTTTTTCTCTATCACATATATCTATGGCAGACGTATCTACAGGTTATTCAACCTTATCTCCAACCAGTTTTGTGGATGTGCATAATGTCAGGGTGTCTTGGGATGACGTTTCTTATCAGTATGGCGTCTGATGTGTTTTCTTTACTCACTCTTCACATCTACTTCTTCTATGTTTACGCAGCAAGGCTGTACAGCTTACAGATTTATGCTATTTTGTCTTTATCAAGATTATTTACAGGTAATTGAAGTGACAGTAATATGAATAAATAGATGGCGAAACAAATAAATGGTGATTTGTGTTTTGAAAAAAATTGATAAATGACATCTTTGCTAGCAGAGGCGTTGTAGTTCATTCTAATGATTGAAACCTCTGGCAGCAGAGAAATGAATAAATGAAAAAAATGAATGAAATTAGAACTGGTAAAGATTATGAAATAATYAGATGAAGAAAGTAAATGAGTGAATAAAATACAAGGATATTGAAATGGCATAGGTTGATGTCTGCAAGCTTTTAGTTTTAAAAATCAAATTATGCAGCAGATAAATGATTTTTCTTGTTTTTGCAGGCAGAAAGTGGAGTGTACTAAGAAATCGTGTTGACAGTCTTCCATACGATGTTGACCGCTTGTTTATCGGTACACTACTGTTTACTATTCTGCTGTTTCTTCTTCCAACAACAGCACTATTTTATGTTGTCTTCACAACTCTGCGACTGCTGGTTCTTGTTGCTAAGTTCCTTCTCTCAAGCTCAACTCATCTTCTAAACAAAGTGCCTTTATTTGGCCTGGTATTGCTGATATTAAGGCCTTCTGTGTTACCAGGTAAGTAAGTCATTGCTAAGTATGTTGTAGAGTACAAACATTAAATGTGTGCAACACTATTTACTACAAAATAGTGTTAATTAAACAATAGAAAACAATAGAATTAGCATAATTTAGCAGTATTTAGTGGTATTTATGTTGCACAGTTTTAGTGTTTGTATTCTAAGGTGGCTAGGCAAAGCAATTACATGTACCTATTATTGCACTACTTGGTCATCTTGCTTCATACTGTAAAAAGGACTGCATGACTTACATCGACTTGTATTTCTTCATTATATAAATTCTCAGGTGGACTGCAAGTCAAGATTATTGATCCCTCTAAAAAGACCAATATGCCCTCATCAAATCCATCCCCATACCTCCCCCCAAAGGTTCAAGCATTGTGCATCAAATTCTCCAATAAACCATTGTCAGTGATGCAGCTTTTTGATTGGTCAATCAACACCAGTATTGTAACAAGTGCTAAGCAAGAYACATGGGGAACATTTGTWAGGAAGYTGGTTCATGGTCATTTAGTATATCCATGGATTGAAAATGACTAGGTTAACATATATTAGAAGAAAGTATATTAGAAGAAAGTAACACAGGCAGCCCACCCAAGTTTTAAATTAAAATTAATTTTATAATTAATACAAATGTCCAAGATGGGACAACTTAAAGTATTCTTAAGGCTGATTTACACGGTACAATTTGTCGCGCGCGACTTGTAGTATACGATTTTCCTATTACAAGTCGTAGGATTTTAAGCAGTGGTTCAAAACCCTACTACAAGTCGTAGGTTGCGTACGACTGTTGTAGACAAGTCGTAGGGGCATTTACACTGCGCGATTCAAGTCGTATACTACAAATCGCACGAGACAATCATGCCGTGTAAATCAGCCTTTAGACTAGTGCTTTATAGAGTTCAAACATTAAATGTGTGTAACACTTTCCACTATTTACTACAAAATACTGTTAATTAAACAATAGAAAACAATACAATTAGCATAATTTAGCAGTATTTAGTGGTACAGTTTAGTGTTTGTACTCAAAAGAAAATGTATTATTTTTATATTTATCATTATTAATTTTAGACATTATTTTTAAAATCCACCTTTAATTGTACATTTGGTAGGTACTACATGTACGTACATTATTTTTTTAAACTCTAGTATTTTCATATGTATTTTCCAACAAGACCCAATATGTTTTATCCTAAATTCTTTACATCTTTTGTAATATATTAAATACTTTGTTTGTTATCTTTTGTTTTTTGGTTTCTTTTTTAAATCTTCTTTCACTTTGAATAGCATGAGTTCTAAACTTGCTTTAGCGTCTTCATAGCTATCGTGACCTTCCTCTGTAATTGAAAAAAATAAATAAAAAATTAAAATTATTAAATTTGATTTATTAATATGATAAAATTTCAAATATTAGAGTGAAGTCAATGAACCCGTGAAATACATATTTGACTATTACATGTTATTACTCGATAATTCCATTGTTTTCTTTTGTGTCTATTTGACTATTACAGTTTAATTATTAACTTTTATTTCACAGGATCAATGCCTTCACTCTATAGTGCCTTACCATTGTTTTGAATAATTTTCTTTACAAACTCGGCCATAAGTGTTCGCAGTGCCCTCTTGTAKGGTGGACCAAGACGATGAGGAAAGACAACTGATGTATCAACTACCGTATCATGAACAAGCTGAAAAAATATATCATAATACTGATTGATGACATTTTGAGTCAATCCTAGAATCACTGGTTCTTTGCAAAATGGTTTTAAGCCATTTTGTCTCACATCTCAAATATTTTTGGAAAATAGTTTGGTAACTTTGCGATTCTAAAATTAAGGTTGAAGCCGCATTGAGTAAYATGAGAACTGTTACAAGGGATTGTATTCACTTACAAATACTTTAAGCATCAAAACATGTATTACCTTTAAGGATAATAAGTCACTTTCAAGACTGTGTCCCACCAGGATTGAATCTTTGCTTATCATGCTTAGAAGAACAGCTTGCACTTCACGAATACTAGTCTTGACACCACGTAGACACTCTCGCGTAACTCCACTGAACCTTGGAGAACACAATTACTTTTGTAAGATGGTTATATTCTCTAATAATAKCAAACATCTTGGGAGTCAGGAGCATTGAAACACTTTTACAAAACAATTCAGTTTTTGTTCATCTAGTACCTGGTATTATAGTCTAGGATAGGATTATCAGGTTTGACAAAAGTATCATAAATCTTTTCCAGCTTCCAGTCCACCACGGTTACACGTGTTAATTCAAGCCCRGCAATGGTATAACACTACATGACAAAAACAACATGCYAAGTATGTACTGTAGCCTGYRTCACAWCTGGACAAACTGTGSTTTGTCKGGATGTGACACAGSCTATATGTACTGCTGCAGTAAAATGATTATYGTTTTTATTCTCAGCATTTACCATCTCACAGTCMACTCCAAACACTTTCTTTTGGTTCCCAGCCAAAGGACTGATAATTGTAGTCATAAAGCCTTCAGTTTGATTCTTGCCTTCACATACATGAAACTACAGTAAATCAAGAGGAGAATCATTGAAAACAATAACTACAGAAACGTTTCAAAMAGATGAAACYTACTTTACAAACAGCACAACCAGGAGTTGAAGCATCACCACCGCAACACTGAAATGAAGAGCTTATTTCTCCTGCAGCTGAAAAATAGCACAAATATTGAAGTAAGTGTAAATACACAAGGCCATATTGTTGTGAAAATCACCCAAGGCAGTGATAAAGTAATCACAAGTTTAAATGTCAATTTTCTTCATTTTTCCTTGAACTTGTATATTATGTGCTCTTGACAAGTGAAGTGCAATCTCATGCACKTGCTCCTGTGTCCTTGCATTGCTGCTGAAAACCAGGCTTTCTTTTATTTCATAAGCACAGTCTATGCTGATGGCTGGTTGATGATTTACATTCATCATTTAGTCGAGAATAAACTAAACTTACTTCTTCTTCTAAATAATCTTCCGACATGATATACGCAATCCTCCTGCCGCACGTATGTACCATCATCGTTTATGGAGTAATTTTTGCCACAACGACAACATGTCCGTCTGTTTGCTAAGATCAGAATTAAAGTTGTAATAACATAAATCAAACTATGAAATATTTAGTACAAACTAATCATTTAAAATCTACACTGGGTCCTGATTGGCTAGTCTGAAGTCTAATAATTATTACATGGGTATCAATAATAGTATATTGTCTGTTTATTATTACTTACGGTCTTTACTAGGAGTAGGGAGGGGTCGGCGGGGTTTRAAAGTGACCTTGCCAGGGGTAGACGGACAAGGCCGTGGATAACCATTCTCAACTAACTGCTCCTCTGTCATTATATACTGTGACAACAACTCATACGTCATCTCCTCTGAAATTGATAATCATGCAAATCAGTGTAAAGCAAAGGTACATGTAACTCTCTGGGCTTCCTTTGTAGTGTTTGAAAGTGGGGGACTGAGACTCAACAGATATTCTCCACTGTCTCACTAACACAGGGATCCAAATCACAAAATGACAATATATTTTTSATTGTTAAAACCAAATGCTTTCTTCCATTACATGCAGTACAAAAAGATATACCTGTCAAATTTGAAGGATCAATTTCTTTTGAACTGTTTTTCATTGCTTTAGATGAACCAGTTGTTCCAGTTGCAGAAGACATCCCAGCAGGGGAAGGGTYGGGGTCTGTTTGAAATTCTGGAGTTGGTTTACTGCGYARTACTTTGATTGCATTRCAGCAYAGGTTAAGATACATTGGTCTCCTTGTAGCACGCTGATAAATACTACGTTCTTCCTCAACACCCTGATGATACAAAAGAAATATTAAGACTTGATAAAGTTATTTATTCAAAAGTTTTGTATCATTATTAGCAATTAGAGATGATGATTTAATCAATGAATAGTGCTACATGCATTCACCCTTACAACTGTGAAATCAAAAGGTACAAAATAAAATGTATTCCTCTGCACTGTCAGCTCCATACCCTATCAAATGCTTCCTTTTCTGTCGCATAAAGTCGTARGTTTTCATCAATGATCTTGTCMAGATATCTTTGTCTTAAATTCTGTGGTACTTTGGCACCATATTCAGTTGGTATTCTGGGTCTYGGTAGCGAAGTATCGGTGGTTGGTTTGGGGATGTGAGCTACTCGTCTCTTTGTTTGTAGTGCATTTCTTTCTAATGTCGTGGGCTGGTAAATGGAAGGTTATTACAGTTAAAGATGTTTACTTTTTTAACAAATTGCGCGCTATAATTGGTTTTGCAGACTTTGCATTATGGTTGGACAACAAACAGACGGAAGGACAATATTGTCATAAAAACCACAGAGTTTGTTGTTACCTGGGGTTGTTTGGCTGGTATGCTTGGCGAATCTTTTGGTAACCTTCTAATAGGGTTAATATTACTTCCTTTTCTTTGCACTAACTAAAAAGTCAATACAGAAAATCACATATAAATAATCTAAAAGCCCTCCCTACAAGCAAAGACTCTTTTTATTGACTTACATAAGAGGCGTTATGTGCAACTCTTTTCTTTTTCCCTAACCCTTGAAGCTCTGCTGGTGAAGTGTTTTTATCCTTTGCAGGAGACACATCAACAGACATTACTCCAGAAGTTCCTGCTGTATTTTGGGTTGAAACTCTTTTCTCTCTGTCTTGTTGTGGGTCATAATTATCAAATATTTCTTTCAAAGTGTCTGTACCACTGTCCATTGTGTCTTGTTCTGAATCACTAATGCTATCACTGCTATCATCTTTATCTTCATCRCTCTCAAATAACGAATCAATTGAAATATTTGCTTTCAAACCTCCTCCTGTTTTGGAAGAGATTTCAGGTGTCTTTATATCATGACCTTTTATATCACTTGAAGTTTTAGGCTTTGCCTGTTTGCGCAAAGTTTTCAATTTAACTTGATCTGTTTTCTCTGGTTTATCTGTTGGCTCAACTGTCTTAACTTTCCCTTGGGTTTTTAGCTTTGATTTTTTTGACAAAGTGAAAAAGTCAATATCCATTAATTGTCTTTTGACCTTTGCATCTTTCTTCTCTGCTTTATCTAAAGTTMCTTTGTCCATATTTTTTAATTCTTCTTTGGCAGCTTTTGTTTTAATTGTTTTGCTTAACTCCTCGACTTTCTTTGGTTGACCATCAGTACATTTTCTCTGTATAATATCTTTTGTGACTCCTTTTTTCTTTTTAATCGTTTCCTTTTCTGCATCTATGGGTGTCTTCACTAAAGAGTTTCTAAGTTTACTTTCCTTGGATTTTCTTGGTGTGTCATCGCTACTACAAGAGGTTTTTCTCTTCTTTGCTGAGTGATGCAAACCTTCATCAATTTTATCATGTTTCCGTTTAATATTGTTAGAATATTTGTAGCTGGTGTCTACAACTTCTTTTCCCAATTCTTTATTAATATTTTTGGTCTCTTTTCCTTCCTGAATCTTATTACTATCCTCAAAATCCATTTGCTTTTCTTCCAGACTTGAGTTTTCCTCCAATTCTGTAMAATTATTTGATGAAATTTCYRRAGTGAAACTTTGTTGTTTGACTGTATTGTCTTTGTTTGTTTGCACTKTGGATGATTCAAKTTTGCTGGTGCTTTCTTTAGTTTGTACRGCAGTTTTYAAAGKCTTYTTYTCACATRTAGWCTTTTCCTTGGTACTAGTGCTTTCTTTAGTTTGTACYGCAGTTTTCAAAGTCTTCTTCTCRCATRTATTCTTTTCTTTGACACTAGTATTAATCAAATTACTAATCTTTTTACTGCTACATGGYGCACTGTGAAGAGTTGCCGAAGCYTCCTCTACAGCCTGCTCTAGTTTATTYAAAGACTCAAGAATTGAAAGAGAAGTTTTATTTGGTGATGTTTTCTGTGTTTCTTTGTTGCTTGTTTTGTTTGTTTTTGCAGCTTTTTCAGGTTCAATTTTCTCTRTGTTTTTGAKTTCATYATCTCCCAGGACACTGCCCRACTCAACGCTCYTTATTCCAGCATTATTGGTCTCTGTGGYCGATTGAGGCTGAGATATCGCATTGTCTACAAATAAACACACAATCAACAATCACTGATTTCAATATGGTGCCATACCAGAATTCTATACATTAACTGTCAGATGTTACCCTCAGTAAAGGGCTGAGGACAAGCTGCATTTCCATAGTAACATCTCTTTCTTATGAAGTATTTAAAAAAATACATACCTGTACATTCTGTCTTTGTTGCAGTAGTTTTTGACTTCAGGCAGCTTTTTATACTTGTCTTGCTGGAGCTTCCATGGCCTACAAAGTATTATAATAATAATAATGTTATGTACACAAAAACAATATGATAAAGGTACAAATATTGTATTATGCTACAGTTTATCTCTACTTGTAGCTGTGAGTTGTGAGTTGTTGAGGACTGGTTGCATAGCAATGCAAGTGACAGYAGRCAATAAATTTTCTTCTAAAATTCAACCTCTTAGGGGATTTGCCAAATGTGTGGCAGCCACACACAGCAACCAATGTCTCATTTTTTTCAAAAGACATAGGGAGACTGCTATACCTGAATACCCATGAAGCTGCATAGGCATTGCTCAGGAATCGTTCACTCTCAAAATATGACGAGGTATTGTGAAGTTGCTTTGCAATGCATAGAAATGTTTTTTTTTTCTTTCTTTTCTTTTTTTTTCTTTTTTGCAGGGTGTTCTATTAGCTACTCTTCTAGTATTTCTATTGCGTTTATTCTAAAGATTTTGTCATAAACAACAGCCTAGCATTGATTAATAGATATTTTAAGCTTTTATACAATATATTTTTATACAAGCTTGGTTTATACTGGAGGGGATCTTAACTTTTACTTGCGGTCAACATAAATTATTTAAAAATAAAATAACATATTTGCACAGTAYAAAATCATGTTACTACATTACAAAAGCCAAAGAGCTMATTCAAAGGCCTAAAAACGTCACACTTTGCTAWTATTYTGCCTCAATTTATATAAAATGCGAACACAGGTTTATAGGGTTTACCTGGCTTTGCATGTCTGAAATGGCAGTACGGTCGATGGCACAGGCCATGGATGAAGAAAGGACAGTTTGCACTGCGAAAATAACCCGCTGAGGGAAACATGATACCACGGAGAACCTTCAAGCGGAATGGTGGTCAC